AAGAGAGATGAGAGGGGTGAGAGTAGAGAGAAAGCTGTGTTGCGCACGGACCGGATCCGCAATTCAGCTGCCCGCCGCTTCAGGGTCCAATGGCGCCAACTACATGTGAGGCCGGTGGATATATCTTCCGGGCATCAACTCGGACGTCATCCAAGTTCATGTCATTCAATCAAGTGCGCATAGGGAGTCATTCCAAGAGATTTGCCTACTGTATTTGAAGTACATATTTCTTCAAGTTGAAATGCGTGGACTGGCGGCAATATGGAAGGTACTTGGTTGTTCCAAGCTTGCCTCATTCAACCTGCTCCCCGCGTATCAATCAGCGTCTGTCCTCGGGGCCAAGATCCTGAATATTCCTACAAGTGTCGAGACCCGAATTAATTTATTTCGTTTCAATACATATCGATGCTTGTGTCAAAATTCATGATCTTGTAAAAAGCTCTGATAATATGCGTCTTGCCATACCAATAACTGTCTCGTACCGTGGAAAGCTCCTCACCACGGCTTGTTCTTTGGTAAACTTCCGAGATCCTTGAGCGGCGATATCGCCTCTATTTTCAGTCTATACATGAATTTTCGTGAAGAAGAACCCAATATGAGGTCAGCTACATCAGATTGTGGTCATTGGTTGAAACCTGGACAATCTACCTCAGCGTGGGTTAGGCTATTGTTCGTTGTACCGAATGTTCAGATGCTATTGTCACTACCTATCTAGAAAACTCCCCACTCAACCCGTTTCGCTTCTTTTGCAAATGGCTTTCGCTTCATCCCTCTCACCACATACCACCACACCACCATCTCCTGCCCCTTGATGCACAAACAGCTAATCCCTCTTTTCTTTCCCCTGACGAGACCCTTCGCGACATATCATCACCGCTCTCATCGAAATAGTCAGTGATTCACATATCACTACCGTGATTCGAACATGCCCGCTCAAGAAGCGGCTCCCGTTCTGGTGCTAGGCATCGACTTTGGCACAACGTAAGCAACAACCCCCTCCTCATATTACTCTCTTTAATGTCTTCCATGTAGATATTCGGGCATCGCGTGGTGTCGAACCGGCGAAAACAATGAAATCAAATTCGTCACGAACTGGAAAAAGCGAGCCTTCGCCCAGGGAGACAAGCAGAAGGTCCCATCCGCGATCTTTTACCATCATTTGAATGATGAAGACCCTGAATGGGGCGCCACGACACCGCAGGATGATACTGTCCTTCGCTGGTTCAAGCTACTTCTCGTCGATGAGAAAGATCTCCCAGATCATATCCGACACTCTGTTCAGCTGAAGACAGCTCGGGCTCTAATGTTGAAGGCTAATAAAACCCCAGTTCAGATCTTGGGCGACTACCTGCGAAAGCTTTGGAGTCACTGTCGTCAGAACATTGTCAGGGCGGAGGGTCGCCGGATGATGAAGGTCTCGTCAGTTCACCTTGTTGTCACTCTGCCTGCTATATGGCCACACTATGTCCGATCGAGAATGACCGAGGCTCTGGGACACGCTGGCCTTCTCGACATTACCCGAGCTGGAGAGACAACTCTGACCTTTATCTCTGAGCCTGAGGCGGCTGCTTTGACCTCCCTCAAGGAGAACGCCGATCGCTTCAATGTCAGAGTGAGTTCAGAATGACCTTTTTGTCACTGGCCTGTAGTTAACTGTGTTTAGGTCGGTGACCATTTCGTCATCTGTGATGCCGGAGGAGGAACTGTTGTAAGTTTCAGCTATCATTTCCTGGCGAAATGTTTCTTACAGAATAGGACCTCATCACCTACAAAATCGAGAAGCTTGATCCTCTCATTGTGAGTGAGAGCGTCAAAGGCGATGGTAAGTCATCTGGTCCGCTGTATGATGGCGTTTGACTGACCTCGACCAAGGTGGCCTCTGTGGTGCCATGTTCCTCGACGAGAGGTTTCTAACGCTACTGAAGGAAATGATCCCTTTTGAGGCTCAGAAGAGGCTTGAAAAACACACCCTCCACAGGATCATGGAGTCTGACTGGGAAGGCGGCATGAAGTCCTCCTTCTGCAAGTCCAGCGGAGACTTGCCTATGCAACTGTCGTACGACGGCCCCGTGGACACCAACTTCTTCCCCTCCAAGTTCAGCATCGATGTGTAAGTGTTTTAAATTACCCCATCCTGATACTCCCGGGCTGTCCATAATGCTTTATCAAGACCTTCACGGGCGTCTTCACGGTATCTACCTTGTCCAAGCTAACTTGATGTCAGTTCCGAAATTCGCGAGAACGTGTTTTACCCGGTGGTCGAGCAGGTTAAACAGCTTGTTCAGAAGCAGGTTGATGCAGTAAAGCACAAGTACAAGAAAAAGCCAAAGGCAAGTTTGTTCGTCATCTCATTCAATGACACACTGCCTAACATTGTTTAGTTCGTCATCCTAGTTGGTGGCTTTGGCAGGTCTCTCTACTTGCACGAATGTCTTCAGAAGGCTGTTGGAAACAGAATAGACGTTCTTCAACAGGACGGGGAAAAGCCGTGAGTCATCTCCATGCTTCTTTCACTTTCGTTGACTAACAATTACTTGTAGCTGGACCGCTGTACTTCGAGGAGCTGTCCTACATGGACTGGCGAGAACCAATCAGACCAGTTCAATCACAGTTGCGGTTGCCTCACGTGTGTCTCGTCACAGCTACGGAACACTCGTGAACATTTTGCCCTTTGACGCCAAAGAGCATGATCCCAAGGACCGCGTTTGGGACGATGGCCAGCAGGAGTTCCTTGCTGTCGAGCAGACACGGTGGTTCGTCGAGATCGTAAGTCAAATGTGCCCATTTTATGGCAATCTCTAACTTCTCCAGGGTGACTCTGTCTCTACCTATGACCCCGTTTGTGCATCCTTCTGGCAGGACCTCACGAGCCCCGACCAAGATCTCCAAATCGACATCGTTACCTCGGACGCTTCTACGCCCCCGCGCCGCAAGGACGATTCCGTCAAACCTATGTGCATCATCAAGTCTTCCGAGCTTCCCAAATGGGATACCATACCGGTATGGACGAACGAAGACGGCCAGGTATTCCACCGCATCACTTACGAACTACGCATGATCAGCGATGGGTCCTCTTTGGAGTTTCGAGTCTACTACAAGAACAAGAGTATTGCTTGTGGAAGTGTCGCTTTCGACTCTACTGGTCAGAACGATACTGATGACGAGGATGACGTACAGATGGGCTCTCCTCGGTCGTTGAATAACAACAACAACAATGACAACAAGGTCATTGATATGACCGATGCCGACAGCGACAGCGATTATGTTGAGGCTGAGGAATAAATGGGGGTTGGGCTTATGTTTGCCGGGTAAATGCTACTCAAAGGGCTCAAAAAGGGCTCAACAAGCGAGTCTCATTAAGGAGTGGAATGTTTGGTTGAACGGCATTACGAAAGCTCACTGGCCATCGCTAGGGGTCAGACATCTAGTTGCTTCATATCATATTGGGGCATATACGTCTATGTATATTCCAGTGCTACATCAGTAAGACAGCTCATACTAGTTACGTCTTTATTCAATTCGAGTGGCTCTTTTACCACGTTACGTGCTTTACTGGTTGGTTCATGCAATTTTACGCCTGACGACTGATTTCATGGTTCGTGTCGTAAGTCGATTGAGAGGTTCATTCAGGACACCTTACAGAAGGCTTGCGAGTCTGCGTACTGCCACTGTTCAGTGTGAGCATTTGAGATGGGCTCAACTAGTTTTAGGTATGCTTCAGGCTTTAGGCACGGGTTTATCAACATATATAAGCCTTAGGGTCATCTCTTTCGACTGTTATCCTAATGGCTCGTTGCTCAAGAGCAGAGCTGCGTCCAAGAGCATTTTTAAGTTCAGTACGAGACCCTAGGGCTGTCATTCTGGTGACTCGTTTTCTGGGTTAGAAATATTACGACATCAAGATTACATGATACAGTTGGAATTGTATCAGATGAAGAATATTCTTCTATCGACCGAGGGCTCATTATGGGAGCCTAATAGGAACGTTGGATCTGCGTTTCAGGCCGAACTGACTTCCAACTTTGGTATTCTTGTGCGATAGGGATCAATATCGCTGGGCCACGTTAATAAAACTTACACTCTTTCTCTGGCTTTCACTTCAATTGTTCAATTTGCTCCTAATATCCTCGATGTGTCAAGAGTGTAGTGTTACTGGTGACTCCAGAAGCAGTGGGGGGCTCAATGAGTCACACTTGGGGTGGAGGTATGTGTCCAAATAAGCCCACTCTCTTTCACCAAGAAAGCAATTTGGCGCAGTGGAAGCGCGGTATGTTTACCATTATCTGCATCATAAAACCAATACTAACAGACTCAGCCGGGCTCATAACCCGGAGGTCGCACGATCGAAACGTGCAATTGCTAGGTTTCATATTTTTTTGCAATTTTTCCTATTTCGATTCTGGTATTTCGACGTGTTCTTCTCTTTTGGTTTCCTTTTGGTGGTGTTTTTGCACTAGTTTCATAGCGCGAGAGGTGTGCTGTCTGCCACTGAGCACGTGACTGCCAACTACTTACACACTCTTTGGGCATTGATTACTGCAACAGACGGAAGGCCTCTTTATTTATTATAACGTGCGATGGGCAGAAGGATCTTGTAAGGTGAGAGTAGTATTTAAATTACCAGAATGTGATTCCAGTCTCTATTAAATGTAAGCTTGCTGGAACACAGCATATAACTCAACTCAGACCACCAACTTATAGTTACTTAATAGCAAGGAGAAGATCGTATTGACTGGGACTTATTACGTACGATTATAGATTCTCTTAAACTTTTTATATTTTATGATGTATGTGTTTAATCTTAGAGTACCTTAATAAATATATGGTATTCCGTCCTAAGACCGCGTGACAACCCAATAGGACTGACTACCTGCAGACACATGCATGCATCCATGCCTCAGCTAAAAGATGACCATGGCTATGATTAGGCAACAGCATGTCTAACTTGCTCCTCTTTAACCTCACTTTTATCTTTGTTCTTTAGTCTCATCTGCAAAGTAATGGAGCAACTAGCACAACAATACATCGACTCGACGAACGTGACGCCTCACTGGTTACCAGGCGGCGACGCATTTTGGTATAAGCAGAATACTTCGCCAAATAAATACCAGTTTGTCCTTGTTGATGTCCTTGAAAAGAGTCGCGAGTTGGCGTTTGACCACGAGCAACTGGCTGAAGCTCTACAAGAAAAGACAAACGAAGAGGTTGACCAATTCTCTCTTCCTTTCAACTGGATTGAACCGGTCCCAGACGAATCATGTGTTCGATTCCGCTTCGACAATCGAAAGTGGCAGTTTGGGCCAAACAATCAGCTCCAAGAGTGGGAGGGACAATTCACCACTGAACCAGATCATCTGCTGCAAAAAGAAGTCATTTCTGCACACAATGGCACTAAAGTCACCGTCGATTTTGTGAATCGTACGGGCAAAACCCTCAGGGTGTTTTGGATCGATTGGGAGGCAAAAGCTATTCCATACATGTCGATCAGAAACGGCGAAACAAAACGACAGATTACATACGTGGGTCATGTTTGGCGACTGGTAGATGTGTCGGACGACAAATACAGAGCAGTCTATTCGGCGCCTGACGTGGGAAATCATGTGGCTATCATCGAGCATCTCAGTGACTCTGTTCCTGAAGCATCTCCGCCCAGCGACGATGGAGATTCTGACACTGATGAAGAATCAACCGAACCCGAAAACGGCCCATGTCTCTATGTCAAAGACTTCAACGTATGGTTCAAAACTGAGAGCAACGAAGCCTTGCAGTTATCTGAGAACGGAACCGAAGAGAGTCCCTACGACAAGAGACACTTATACATATCGCCAGACAAGCAATATGCAGCTGCATGGCAGTATACCCCTGGACAAGACCACAATATCAATCTAGTGGAATCATCTCCAGAAGACCAGATTGAGCCAAAACTTCACACGAAGACATACCTCAAGCCAGGTGACCGTGTCAGAGTCGACAGACCTCGACTCTTTAACCTCAAAACTCGTAGCGAAGTTGCAACTGATGATTCGCTTTTCAAGGACCCTTACCAAATGAGTAATCTGGATTGGAACCATAACAGTCAGGAGTATCTCTTTTATTTCAACGAGCGTGGACATCAACATACCAGAGTGATTGGTATCAATGTTGACGGAAGTGTCAGGACGCTTGTGGAAGAGAAGAGCTGCACGTTTGTAGACTATACAAAGTCCTACTTCAAGCTCCTCAGAGACTCTGATGAACTAATCTGGGCCAGTGAGCGAGAGGGATACAATCATCTGTATCTAATCGACCTCATCACTGGCTCGGTCAAGAACCAGATCACAAAAGGGTCATGGATGGTCAATTTTGTAGAGTCTGTGGATAAAGAGCGTCGTCGTATTTGGGTGCGAGGCTATGGGCTTAAGGATGGTGAAGACCCTTATCACGCACATCTAGCAAGCGTCAATTTCGATGGGTCAGATTTCAAGATACTCACAGGTGGAGATGGAACTCACTCTTGGTCATTCTCTCCAGACAAACGCTACTTGATAGACACTTGGTCAAGGGTAGACCGTCCACCTACAACAGTCCTTCGTGACTGCGAGTCTGCAGAAGAGATAATGGCACTCGAGGAGGCGGATTTGAAAGAGTTAGAAGACAAGGAATGGTCTTCTCCTGAGAGATTCGTTTCCCCTGGTCGGGATGGCAAGACACTCATATACGGAATCATCATTCGACCCGCCGAATTTGATAGCAGCAAGAAATATCCCATTTTTGATGATGTCTATGCCGGGCCTCACAACTTTCGGGTCCCCAAAGCATTTTCGACTCTTTCAGATCGACGGCGATGGGCAGATGAAGGGTACATCGTCGTGGTCATTGACGGAATGGGTACGAACTGGCGCAACAAAAGCTTCCATGATGTCTGCTATAAGAATCTTCACGATTCAGGACTTCCGGACCATATCGCTTGGCTGAAAGCTGCAGCATCTTCACGACCATGGATGGACCTGTCCCGGGTGGGAATCAGGGGCGTTTCAGCAGGAGGACAAAACGCTGTAGCAGGAATGCTTCACCACAGTGATTTCTTCAAAGCCGGGATAGCAGATTCAGGCTGCCATGATAACCGCATGGATAAGTTATGGTGGAACGAACTGTGGATGGGATATCCAGTTGACGAGGCGTATGAGAAGGCGTCTAACATAACACACGCCAAGAAACTCAAGGGGCCCTTGATGCTGATTGTTGGAGATATGGACGATAATGTCGATCCATCTTCAACGTTTCAGATGGTAAATGCCTTGAACAAGGCGGGCAAGAATTATGAGTTTCTATTTATTCCTGGTGGTGGACATGGCTGTGGAGGAGAGAAGTATGGTCTTGCTCGTCAAAGGGAGTTCTTCAAGCGTCATTTGCAGGAAGAGTCCAAGTATCGAGTCGACATTTATGACACCGGCAGTTGATATTGTGGCTGTATTAGATATCAAGAATTGAAAAGGTCCATTGTATCCGAAGGGGTAGACACCCTTGAACCCCTGTTATACGACCCCAAATAGTGCAACATAAAGGGTCTTGTTGCTTCAAAAGCCACAAACAGTGGTTACAGTAACAATTGATTTATTTGCAATACATTATCACAGCCCGCCTTTGTTTGGCCAAACTCCTCAATTGAGGCGCTTTCCTTTGCGTTTGTATTGGGTGACTTTGGCCAGTACTATAGTGCAGTATTGAACAGCTGGCCTTCTGCAATAGGTTCCCCCCTCCACTAAAAAAAGTACTGTAGAGGTAGGGATGAAGATCTAAGCTACGCTCTAGCCCAGGAACCGTTACAACCCCCTGCCCTCTCTCATCTCTTCTTCTCTTCTTCTCTGTCTTCTTTTTTTTCCCTTTTGCTGTACCGCTTTTTCCTCTCTTCATCGCATCGACGGTTGAAGATGAAGATCTCGTACTTGTCTGTTGGGCTTCTCGCCCTCTTCAGCCCCTTGGCAGCCGCCTGGAGCAAAGAAGGTATGTTTTACCCTCCCCTCTGATTCATGTCTTAACTAATTTCCATCCTTCCAGATCGCGAAATCTTTCGCATTCGAGATGAGATCTCAAAGTACGAGACCGATCCCGCTGCCACCTTCTACGACATCCTCGGCGTCCCTCCCTCTGCTTCGCTCGATGATATTACCAAGGCCTATCGCAAGCAGACCCGAAACCTTCACCCCGACAAGGTCAGACAGGGAATGCGATCCAAGGCTGGAAAGGATAAGAAGAATGGCGCAAAGACTAAGCCTCCTACCAATGCTGAGATCAAGGCTGCTGTGAAGAAGGCCGGCGAGGCTCAGGCTCGTCTCTCCCTCATCGCCAACATCCTTCGTGGCCCCGAGCGCGACCGATACGACCATTTCCTCTCCAATGGCTTCCCTCTCTGGAAGGGCACCGATTACTACTACAACCGATACCGCCCCGGCCTGGGCACGGTTATCGTTGGTCTTTTCCTTGTTGTGGGAGGTGGTATTCACTACCTCACTCTGTACATGAGCTGGAAGCGACAGAAGGAGTTTGTCGAGCGCTACATCAAGTTCGCCCGCGACACCGCTTGGGGTGGTGGTCTTAACATCCCCGGTGTCGACGCTGCTCCCGCTCCAGCCCCCGCTGCTTCTCCCGCGCCCGCTAGCGATGAGGAAGAGGCTCCTCCTCTGCCCCAGAACCGACGAGAGCGACGTATGCAGGAGAAGGCGGCCAAGCGCGATGGTGCTCGTCCTGCTAAGAAGACGCGCCGTGCTGCTCAAGCTTCCTCTGGGACTGCTACTCCTACCCCTGCTGCTGGACCTACTGGCGCTCGCAAGCGAGTTGTTGCTGAGAATGGCAAGATCCTTGTTGTTGACTCCCTTGGTGATGTCTATCTCGAGGGAGAGGATGAGGAGGGCGAGGTCCACGAGTTCCTCCTTGACGTAAGTTATCACAATTTTGTCGAAATGACTAGACTAACATGTGACAGCCCAACGAGCTGGCCAAGCCTACCATCAAGGACACCGCAGTCTTCCGCGCACCCATCTTCCTGTTCAACATCACTGCCGGCCGCTTCCTTTCCAAGAAGCCCACGGACCTCGAGATCGAGATCCCTGCTGAGGATGAGGACTCTGATGTTCCCCAGCCCACTCCCAGCACCGACTCCGCCGGCGAGGACTTTGAGCTTCTTGACAAGAGCACTGATTCTCTCGGCAAGGCCAAGGCATCTGGCACTTCGCAGGGCAAGGCTAACAAGCGCAAGGGCAAGAAGAGGTAAACTTGGAAGTGCTTCCTAACAAAAGTTGACTGGAGCTGGGAGTGGATGGAGTTGGTGTGAAATGGGGAGGATGTATTTTGTCAAAAGGACGGTTAAATCTTATATGCTTGCCATTTTATAGTAGATGCCATTCATGAAAAAGACTAGATTTGGGATATGCCTTGTGGTCACATTATGTGCCCTGGGCCTTCATGTGCCGACTAAGGTATCAGTGATGTTTGAGACGGTCTTAGTCAATTGAGATCAAAGACCACTCATAGACTAAGGAATCCTCGTATAATGCCAACTTGATCTTGAGACTTAGCCAACTTAGTTAGCCCTTGGCATTAAAGCAATACTTGTTGGCTTTCTAACGATCCTAAACTTATAATGGCCTGGTTATAATTCATAATGATAGCTTATGTATGGTAAATATAGCTGGACCTCTTTCTTTCATCCTTTGGCTTCGAAGTCTATGATGATAAGACCCTCCGTACCAGTTCATCTGAGCTTAATTAAATCTGGGTTAATTAGTCTCTAACGGCTGCATACATACGGAACCCGAACTTTATTATCTCTAGGGTTGCAACGAAGCTGCTGACACTCTTACAGGCGGATATTACGGACATTTATATCCGGTCAACCTCTCCAAGCAGCACAACATTAGTTGACCCCATTTCCATGGACAAAAGGAGGAAAAGAAGCAGAATGTCGTAATCCCCGTCAGTTGTCTTGCGTGCTTTCTGATTAGATAGCCAGCCAACTCCGTGCTGGCCATTCCGAAACTCCATTGGGGATATGTAGTTAGACAATAATCCACTTTGACGACTATTGATCATGCTAATTTTTTGCCATTGTTGATCATCTTTATATAACTACCACAAAGATACGCCTTTTTCGAGTTCTCAGCATGTTGAATATTTGTTGATCGCCGTTTCTGTCTAACTCTAGTCAACGTGCCTGTTGAGTTGAGCAACGATGACGTCCTCGAATCAGCCTGAGAGGCCAAATGTCTCTGGCGATAGCATCACGGAAACATTTCCGAGTCAAGATTCAGCCGAGGACACCAAGGTTCGCAATTCAGTCGAGTCAACTGAAGAAACAGGCTCCAGCAACGCCGTGTTGCAGTCTTCAAAGTATGAAACGAGTTTACTTCGGAGAGTATTGACACCAAAGAATTGTCGATGGAACGATGAGTCGCCACCGGCTTTGTCTATGAGACATTGCTGCCTCTACGCCATGGTATGTTAATTACCTCAACTGGAGGAGTTAATGTTAATTGACAGAAATAGGCATCAGGTATTACAGTTGCAAACCTGTACTACAATCAGCCAATTCTCAACAAGATAGCCGCAACCTTCAATGTCTCATACGAAGAATCATCCCAGGTTGCAACGTTGTTACAGTCAGGCTACGCAGCTGGTCTCATTTTTGTTCTACCACTCGGAGATATTCTCGAAAGACGCCCGTTTATCATCGCTCTTGTTCTGGCCACTGCAACAATGGTAAGCTCTGTGTATCATATACTATATTCGGTAGCTGACATCACGTAGTGGATAGGACTCTGTGTGACAAATGACTTCACCGTCTTCCGTGCCTTATCTTTTGTCTGCGGTGCTACCACAGTGACACCACAGCTGATGGTCCCCCTAGTGGGAGACTTTGCGCCAGCGCATCGAAAGGCCTCTCTTCTTGCTATCGTCACATCAGGGCTTATGCTGGGTCTGTTGATGGCGAGGTTACTCTCAGGAGTGGTAGCAAATTTCACAAGTTGGCGCAACATTTACTGGTTGGCATGCGGTCTGCAGTACCTCATGGTCGTTGTGCTCTTCTGCTTCATGCCTGATTATCCATCTACCAATCCCGATGGGTTGAACTATCTCTATGCTCTTTGGTCTATTCCGCGCATGATGGTTACTGAGCCGGTGCTGATACAGGCGTGTCTTATTGCTTTTTCGCTATCAGCTGTGTTTACGTCGTTTTGGACTACGTTGACGTTTCTACTCGCTTCTCCGCCCTTTGACTATACATCTCTACAGATTGGTCTCTTTTCTCTAACTGCTCTTGCGACTATCCTGTCGATCCCCTTGATTGGGAGGTTGATTGATCGTTATGTGCCTCTACTCTCGACAATAGGCGGCCAGATCCTGGCGCTGACTGGGGCTATCATCGGAACATTCACTGGAAACTTTACCGTTGCTGGACCTGTGATTCAGGCTATCGGTATAGATGTCGGTATGCAGACAGCTCAAGTGTCGAATCGCGCTGCTATCTTCAGTATCAACCCCAAGGCTCGAAATAGAGTTAACACGGCTTACATGGCCTTGGCGTTTGCTGGACAATTGACCGGTACAGCGGTGGGAAACAGACTATATGCTAGTGGAGGCTGGAGGAGAAGCGGTGGTTGCAGTAGTAAGTCGACTTAACAGTGTATTCTTTTGCAAACAAATTGCTAACGCGAACATTAAAAGTTGCATTCGTTGGATTGTCCATCTTGATCGCTGTCGCAAGAGGTCCCAGGGAAAAGGGATGGATTGGCTGGACAGGAGGCTGGCATCCTCGACGAGAAAAACCTGTGATAACACAAACAGAAGACGAAGAAAATGGCGAAGAGCAGAATAGGAAGGAGGAAAAGTGAAATAAATAAAAACAGTATGCGGTTTGTTTAAAATAGAGATGTTTTATAGACGGGCAACGGGCCGACAGTTCCACTAGTCACCGCCGCAATATCCTGTCAACCACTTGAAATCAGCCTCAAAATGTAACATCGCCAAGAGACGATAGGCATAATTACGAACTTTAACAGGGTATTGCCTCGTCAGTTCAGTTCGGCAACTAAAAGAGACTCTCGGAAGCTGAGCCTCCATGAGCCCCTCATTCGGCATACGCGGATAACTAAACAGGGGTCTTTGGCTCTAGACATATATCCATCTTCCTTCAGGATTCGTTTCGCGATTATGAGCGGTAAGCATTAAAAGATGACGGCTTTTTCTTCATCTTTTTCTTCCTCTTATGTAATCTCGTCTGATCGCATCAATTTTCTTCTTTTATTTCTTGGCATCTTTATTGATCGAGTGTAGTCGTAGCTGCGGGATGGCTATTCCACTTACAATGGCTGGACCACAGTATCATGACGACTTCGATTCTACACCTAAACAAGATTCAACACCAACACAAGATCAACCTCTAGACCAACCTCGAGAACATACACAGCCACTCTCAGCTCACGATACATCACCTATTCCTGCCAAAGATCATATATGGACGGCCAGACTAAACCTTCGTCTCTTCTCCATCTGTGTTGACGCTCTTCTTCTTGTTATTGTCTCTTTATTGGCCTCTAGTTCTAGTGATGGAACAACCTCCATCATCTTCTTTGGGCTCCTCGTATGTACTTATCTATTCTCAGGCTCTTTCACCTATTAACGAAAGAAAAAAAACTTAGACTGCCCTTGCTTTAATATGGAACTTTGCGGACTCTATCCATGTCTGGACCAGAAGATATCACAGGTTCAGCCCCTCCATACGAATTTGCATCGATCTTCCGTTAGCCGTTCTCTTTGCAATCTTGTCACTCATCTGTGGCTATTTCGGTCCTTCGGATCACGCAATTTCTGGCTCAGCTCCAAGCACAGACGAGTCACATCTTGGGAGACGAGCCCTTGGATGTTTCGGCATCACCAAAGTGTAAGTCTACTGCTATGCTCAAGTCTCATAATTTTGTTTTACTGACTTGCAATTTGTTTAGTCTCGTTCACATGATTCTAGTTTCCGTTGCTTACTACGAGAGAACACAAGCAAAGTCGTCCACATCACGAAGCAACTATGAGAGGAATGAGGGGGATATAGCCGGAGATGAGGAAGAAGGATTGTTATTTAGCGAGTAGTCTGTCTCAAACAGATAGTCGTGCACAATTGGCAGCTAGCGACTTGCGTTTCGTTTCACGCATTTTACCATGAAGATAGAGAAATATCAACATAAGAAAGACACAAACATAGGAGATACCAACATCATCACCACCACCATCGGATCCTTTTTCATCCCCTTCCTAATTTCCAGGCTCAGTAGCTTTCAATGTCCAGACTCTACCCCATCATTACCAACTCACATCTTCCCGCCGCCTTCGGGGAATCAGGTAGAGTCTGCTTCATGTTGAGCTTGTTCTTCCCATCAGTAGTCTTAAGGCACATGTGACAGAGCAAGTCCCCAGGACCGACATTTTCCTTCATCTCCACAATGTCGCAGCCCTTTTTACCTGCCGTTATGACGGTGCCGCAAGGGAAGAATCGGCCAAAGGGTTCGAGTGTCGATTTACAGAGCCAGCAAGAGGCAACGCGGGTGATTTGACGACACATATTGGGTGAGGAGGACCTGGTTAGAGGTGATATGTGTGTTCACGGAATTTTTATGAAATCCAATGGCGTACCTGAAGGGAAGTGGTGCTGAGGTTAGGACAACAGTTGAGTTTCGCCGCTGAGATGCGAGAGCTGGTGCCTACGAAGCTGAGATGAGTTGCTGAGTTGAAATCCCAGCGACGAAAGGATGTGCCATTTTATATTAGAGATAGCTGTTGCAACTATTCACTGTTATCACTAAATTCACCGAGCGTTGCCTATTACATGCAATCATTGTATTGAAGTTCTTTGTTCTGGGTTAGACTCCTCGTGAATAACAGGTACACCATAGCGCTGGGCGGAGAGAACAATGGCATAGACCTATTCACCGCAGACACAACTCCATTAAATACGTGAACGCACTATTCTGCCCATCGATCATTGAATTACTTCTGTACAGTGTCCCTAAGAAATTCGAGGATGGATCCAGCTTGTAGCTTTCATGAATTGAGACCAGTATTTAACGAGTCTTATGATGAACATGGCCTAAAGCAGAACTAAACCTAGGCTGTTAAAACAAATTGAACTCCATCTATAGTATCAAGCTTACCAAACAAAATGATTGGTAGTAGACGCAGTGATCCAAGGTACATGGAAAATCTTCTTTTAAGTCTCTTAACTTCTTTTGAACTACAAAATGTCGACAAATACACGTCCCTTGCCAAGTCTCCATCCTAAGACCCAGCAGAGACCATCCTCTCGCTGCTTATCATGTCCATCTCCTCTTCCCAAAGGATATATATACCGCACATCTTGTCACAAAGGAGACGCTGCCCTGCGTAGAATCATGCATGCCAAGTTTCCCAACAAGCTAACAAAAACTCCTTCCCAAGTACTTCCTCGTGTCCGGATCCGCAAACACTTAGTACACTCGCTTAAAGGGTGGCACGGGCTTGCACTCGGCCTCGTCCAGGGTGGTGTCGATGACCTTTCGGTAGGCCAGGTCGACCTTGCCGTGAGGCTCCTTCTGGAAAGAAAGAGTGTGCTTCATCCACTTCTCGTCATCTCGGTCGGGGAAGTCCTCGCGGGCGTGAGCACCACGAGACTCCTTTCGGTTGGCGGCAGAGGTGGCGGTTTGGATACTAAGAGCCATGTCAGTATTGCTTCAATGTGTTGAAATAGGGTCAAAACTTACGCGCAGGTGAGCAAGTTGCGGAGCTCAAGAGTCTCAACGAGATCAGAGTTCCAGATCATGCTGCGATCCTTCATGCCAACCTGGCTGTACATGCCATCAATCTCCTTCATCTTACGGACACCCTCGTCCAAACTCTCTTGTGTTCGGAAAACGCTGACATCAGTTTGCATAGCCTTCTGCATGGCAAGTCGGATCTCAGCGGTGCTCTTAGGACCATCAGCAGTTCGGACCTTGTCGAGGACCTCGATATGGTCGGAAGCAGCATCAGCGGCAACGGGCTTCAGGGCGTCACCGGGGTTGAACTTGTCACGGATGGTGTGCGAAACGGCACGACCGAAGACAACAAGATCCAGAAGAGAGTTGGCACCCAGACGGTTAGCACCGTGGACAGACACACAAGCGGCCTCACCGCAAGCGTACAGACCAGGGACAACCTTGTCCTCACCCTTCTCGTCAACAGTAAGGACCTCACCAGTGTATCGTGTAGGAATACCACCCATGTTGTAGTGGACGGTAGGAAGGACGGGAATGGGCTGCTTGCGGACATCAACACCAGCAAAGATACCAGCGGTCTCAGAAATACCGGGCAGACGCTCAGCAAGAATCTCAGCGGGCAGATGGCTGAGCTGGAGGTAGATGTGATCCTTCTCAGCACCAACACCTCGGCCCTCACGGATCTCCATGGTCATGGATCGAGAAACGACATCACGAGAAGCAAGATCCTTGGCGGTAGGGGCATATCGCTCCATGAATCGCTCACCCTCAGAGTTGAGGAGGTAACCACCCTCACCACGAGAACCCTCAGTGATCAGGCAACCAGCTCCGTAGATACCGGTAGGGTGGAACTGGACGAACTCGAGATCCTGGTTGGGGAGACCAGCACGGGCAACCATGGCCATACCGTCACCGGTACAGGTGTGGGCAGATGTGCAAGAGAAGTAGGCTCGGCCGTAACCACCAGTAGCGAGAACGGTGTGGTTGGCAAGGAATCGGTGCAGAGTGCCGTCCTCCTGGTTGTAGGCAAGGACACCGCGGCACTCACCGTCCTGCATAATCAGGTCGAGGGCGAAGTACTCGATGAAGTAGTTGGTCTTGTGTCGGAGAGACTGTCCGTAGAGGGTGTGAAGAAGGGCGTGGCCGGTTCGATCAGCAGCAGCGCAGCATCGGTAAGCTTGTCCACCCTTTCCGTACTGCTTGGATTGACCACCGAAAGCTCGCTGGTAACTGGTGAGATTGTCAGTAACCGCTGTGTGGGCGGATTTCAAAGTCCAGACTCACATCTTGCCATCCTCAGTTCGCGAGAAGGGGCAGCCGTAGTTCTCAAGCTCGATAATGGAAGCGGGAGCCTCTCGGGTCATGTAGTGAATAGCATCCTGGTCACCCAGCCAGTCGGAACCCTTGACGGTATCGTACATGTGCCATCGCCAATCGTCCTCGTGCATATTACCTAGGGCAGCGTTGATACCACCCTGGGCGGCGACGGTGTGAGATCGAGTAGGGAAAAGCTTGGAGATACAGGCAGTGTTGAAGCCAGCCTCAGCGAGACCGAAAGCAGCTCGAAGACCGGCACCACCAGCACCAACAACGAGAGCATCATACTCGTGGTCCTGAAAAGTGTCAATTGACGAGATCTGTGATTCGCGGATAATCGGGTAGACGTACGATGACGGCGTATTTGTTGCTCACAAAAGGAGAGGCCTCCTTAGCTCGCAGAGGACCATTGCCAGTGATAACTCGGGCTGTTACAGCTCGTCAGTATTTCAAAGTTGCGCGTAGGATTCGGAGAAAAGCGTACCAACAGGTCGAGTGGTGGAGAAAGCTCGAGAAGGGAACCTAGCAGCCCGCGTGAACTACACAGATGTTAGCAAAGCGCATTGAGGAGCTGACGAAGCTTCTGCAGTGGACAATTTGTTTCATGATGCCATCGCAGAGGCCAGACCAGGGACTACTCACAGCAGGGCCGACGGCCAATCTCCTCATTGCCATAGAAGAAGCCATCATCAACTAGAGTCACTATGACCAAGACCAAACTGCATCCGCGGGGAGAATGGAAAGGGTGGTATTTGACGATATTCTCGGGTGGCGGAGGAGCAGGACTTTTGTTAGATGTGGTTTTGGAGGAGAGAGAGAATGGATTGAGTTGACTGTCCAACCAATCGACAATTCCCCTTGATGTTTTTTTGGGTCTCTTGTCCTTCGCGAGCCTCGATCGGACGGATTCTCTCGGCTCCTCGGTTGATCCGACCAATCAGCGTTGGCTTATTAGCAGCGCCGATTATTCGCCGCCTACTGGACGTGGACGCTGTAAGCCACTGAAGATATAGGGACCCGGAAGTCAATGACCTCGCTGTGCTGTCAAATGATAGAGCTCCTTGAGTCCGAGGAGCGTCGTTTTTTAAGCCAATTGGTTTATAAATTTCAACCATTTTCATGATACTACATTCACTTTTATTCTCCTTCGATCTTCGTCCAACATCAAAGTCCAATGGATCGGGAAGATTCGCCTTTGAGAGTCTAAGAAATCCATGACGTTAAAGACAATCTCATCACGTGTCCGCGGATGTACATTTTGCCCTTCGGCTCCCCGTTTCCCCCGCCAATTCTGATACCAACGGCATGTGCTGACGGCTCCACCTCCAGCTGCTGTCAGTCGTAACATCACGACCCGGCCCGGAACCAGTTTTCGGGGCCGGTCATCAAAGTCCGGTTTTCGTGCTGTAGTCTGCAGCCTTGACAATTCACAAGGTTCAAGAATGCGGGAAGAAACCACTTCCTCTCATGATGAGCTAACACGATCGAAGGCTAAGCTTAGCCTAAGCCTTATGATGAAAGTCTCGAGTTTGATTTGAGGCTTCATGATATTCTTAGGTACATCTTGGTATTCTTCTTCTTGATCTTGCACCCTTCAGACCACAATAAAGCATCAGATACGTCACATTTGAGCAACAGCGTTTTCAATAATCAGACAGAATAATAACGTCTACTGGCTCTATCATTTCCCATTCTGCCTGACTTTATAACCATGACGCTCTGTATCTTTATACTACCAGAATCAATACAGCCCAACTCCTCCTCTTCCTCTGTAAAATAAGACCTCCTAACCCATGTACAACCGCAACAAGGATATCTTAGTAAATCTAATTCGACAAAACTTGGCGAAGCATGACCAAGAAGTTATCGGTCAGCTTATGAACTTCTCTCACAGGAGGTTTAACAGGCTCTCCAGCGCTTCGTCGCAGACGATCCTGTCGCTTGGCTCTGCGTCGCCTCTCAGCTTCGATGGGGTCCAACTCATCTTCTGCTTCCGCCTCTGCCTCGTCTTCTGACCCGTCATCATATGCCATATCCTCGAGGTCCTCGCTGTCTAATCCAAAGTCGGATGAGTTGAAAGCCATTGCCGTTGGCATCATGTCACTTCCTGCATGCCCCTCAGCTGCCATCTTCTGCCTAGTCTTGTCGTTGTGCCACTTCTTTCGAGCTTCTTGCCATGCAATAAGAGAGTTGATCTCTGCAATTGCCTTATCTTTATCCAGAATTCCAGCACTGACACCGCCCTCGAACAAGGCGTTGACATTAAGAGTTCCGTTCTTAGGGCCCTTTCGCAAGAACTCAAGAATACCCTCAATCCAGCCCATGAGCTGTGTAAAGAGGCCATTATCATGAGTATGCACTTCATGGACAAACTTGTAAAAGTTATGCTCGTGTCGCTGGCAAAGATCAATGAATGCCTGGACAGTCTGGTTTGGATCAGCCGATGCATCTTGCTCTCTGCACTTGTCGACGACCTATACACATGTTAGCGATTGGTTTCAATTCGGATAGAGCTCATCTCTTACCTGGATCATGTCATCGATAAAGACGGCAAAATCAGTGACACTGTTGTACACGTTTGCCGACTTGTAGACTCGCACGAGAGGCTCGTAGAAGATGGTAAAGAGATCTCGGAACAGCTGGAGAGTTACCGGCTCCTCGATCAACTGGAGCATCATCTCCTTGTCCCTCTGTCTTGTGCAGAGCTTCAAGTACTGCTTCATATACGAAAACAATTGAGCGCCCTGGCGCAGCTCCTCGTCAATGTTCTCCACAGCGTTGTTGAAAGCGACATATGCGTTGTAGAGTCTCTGGATTTGCTCTCCTGTCAGTCCTGGCTCAATGAGATCAGATCTCATGATCGCCACGATCAAGTCCATATCATCCGCCTCCGCCTCTTCACGAATGGCAACCTTGATATGTTCTTCCGCATGTGTGTACTTGTAAAGCTTGTCTGAGAAGACAGGGTCGTCAATCTTGCTAGCGAGGATATCGATCGACTTTTGGAAGCTCTTGATACCGTCATTGAGTGTAAGTGAGAAAATTCTCTGCATCAGCGACCGTGTACCAAATGGCTGAGCTAGGAAGATGTCGAGAACACCAGACATGACTGCCGCGGGGTTGGCGATACGGATAACGTTCTTGATAACTGAGTATGGGATGAGAGAGTGGATGCGTCTCGCCTGGGCAAAGAGCTCAGGGGAGTTGTCCTCAGCCAGGAAAAGGTGATAGATGACGGCAGCAATCTCGATACGAAGCCACTCGGCAAACTTTCGATATTGTATACTGAGATCCTGGATCGTCTCCTTTTCCTTGATCTCCTTGAAGAGCATGGTAAGTCCGTTCTGTTCTACTATATCGCGACGGAACCTGGAATATGTCAGCTCAAGCTCAAAACCGATGTGGGACAACACTTACTGTTCCATGTACTCATCAAGTTCGGCGGCTCGTTTCCTTGCGATTTCATAGAATTGCTTTTGCTCTTCCATGCGCTTCGCATCCACCTCCTTCCTTCGAAGAATATCTTCAACATCCTCGTCTGTAGGAGTAATGGGCTCGCCACTCAGAAACTCTTGCATAGCCTTGGTATTAGCAAATTGGGGGTTGTGGAGGACGGAGCGCAAGAACGCTCTGAGCGAAATTCTTTGGTTTTCACGCCATAGAACAACTGTCTATGTATCTTGTTAGTTGGCTGTGGAAGTCAAATACTATGCCACTCATACCTCTGATTTATCTGACTTATCCGAATCCTGGCGGATGGCGGGGCTAAGTCTTCCTCCCTCAGTAGACACGCGAGGAGATGGAATTCTAGGAGAGTTGAGCCCCTTGGATCGATTCGATCTGAATGATGCCGCAGATCCAGCCCTACGGTGACCTTGATAGCGTTAGCATAAGCAATCCAACAAAGACGGGGTGATCCTACCAGGCGTCAACATAGAAGAATACCCATTGGGTCTTGTCGAAACTGAGGAAATAGAAGAAGCATCTGATTCGTTTCCATTGCTGAACATGGAAGTAAAGGCGATCGTTGTTGTTGTATCAGACTTGTTCTTCTTGGGCATTTCTGGTACGACTCGACCAGGAAGCTCTTGTCGCAATCGGCTGTGAAGTTTGGCAAAGTCGCTGTATCTCCGTCCAACATAGTGCTCCAGCTCTCCCTTCTTCTTGATGCGTAGGATAAACTCGGCGTGTTTGTGCTTTCGGATCGTATGCTTGACTTGGGTGACTCGAACGCCAGCGACATTGACATCCCAGCCATTGATATAGTTGCCCTCAGGCAGAGTATGCATGACACCAGTGTCAATAGCATTGCTGTCAACAATCTCAATCTCTGAAAATCGAATGCGCTCCTCAAATCCTGATGATGTTCCAATTCCAGACACCATCATTAGCTCAACAAGTTTCCTGGCCTTGATGGCTAGCTTTCGTCGCTTCGTCTCCTCCAGGCGATCCTCCGACGATGAAATCTGCTTTCCTGCGAATGACTCGAGGAACTATAGTCCATTAGCGTCAGATCGACCATCAGGAAATCGCATCATCATTACTCACCACTTGGAGCTTGTCCTGCCAGAATTCCTTCTCGTGCGCCTTATCAAGGAAAGGAAAGTCGCGAACATGGTGGACGAAGATGTATCGCAGAATGGGCAACTCGGACTCCTCAGGGGGGACTTCACCGTGGTCGGATCGAAATGGCGCACCGAAGCGCTGGAGGGCGGTTGTAGAATTGAGTTCGTTTATTTCCCACTTTACCTGCTCCGAAATAAGCTCTCTCTTGAGGTCTAATGTGTGAAAGCATATATCAGCCTACATTACACCGCGTTTGGTCGCAAATCAATGCGCATTGCGATACTTACAGTGTTCTTGCTTGCCAGTCAGCGTCTGGCCTGGTGGCGGCGTAGCATCTTGCTTTGATCGCACTGGGAGGTCGACTGTAGATGGAGCATTCGCAGTAGCACCCTCAACAACTGCGGGCGTATCTCCGGCCGCAGCAGCCATGTCTCTTGCGCAACAGTCGATTATATAGAGCTTTTCGTGTAAGTTTTGTAGGGGTGAGAAGTATATCACGGTTCAGAAGGTCGGCCGCTATCAATGTCTGCTATAAATTGATATCGATGTATGTAGAAGACTCGGCGAAGTTGGGACAGATTTGTGTCAGAAGAACGTCTGGAATATTGTTGGTTTGGTCTGGACTGCTTTCGTTTGGCGGGGCAAGCTGCAGTCAGCTTCGTTAGTACGCTAAAAAGTGCCTTATGGAGCGCAGCTACGTTATGTTGTCGGCTGTTGATAGGGACTCACATCAGTGTCTTCTTCAGGGTATCACGAACAGAACGGTCAAAGAAACAGAACCTCAAATGATGGAACTTCTCCTCCTTGCATTATAGACCTCAACCTTTTAAGATACTCCTCGCGCTGGGCACTTGCGTGTAATAAGCGCCAAAGCGAGGGGCATGACGTGTGTTGCCAAGTACCAAGCCACTCGCCCAGATTCTCGCAACCCTGCTTTTTCGGGTCCTTTTTGCCGTGTTATGGATGCCCGGCATGACAGTCAAACTTTTTTGATATCAAACTAATGTAACGGCTATTTAGCTTTTGGTATAGTCAATGGTCCAGGGCGCCTAATGTAAGGCTGAGCAGACGTTTTAGTGATGAATTATTATCAATACGAAGGGGCTTTCCTACGATTTTTAGACTGATGCCAAGCAAACGACATGTCTTTGTTGTATGAGTTCTCTAGCTTCATATACTCATTTTCTTGATTATCTGCAGCCAAAAGATGTCGACACTGCAATGACGACGACTCATCTCGTTTGATCAGGCCGCTCGGCATCTAAAACAAGCAGCCGATCCTGTTGTTGATCCGAATATCAGTCTCATTTCGACCTTTATGAATACAAGCCACGGTGATATCCACTCCACGTGCGTTGACATCGTGGCTGCTGAGAACTTGGACCAAGCAAAGGATTATGCCGTGAAATAAGAAGAAATTGGGCATTTCTTACGAGTAAGCCAATCATCGAAATGTATACCAGAACGGGGAATTACAGAGGGATTCTTTTGCCCCGCCACGATAAGTTACGCAATGTCGAGTCTGTGCTTTATTGGCAAGCACCTTATATGAATTGCTAAATGAGAACGTTCCGGATATTGTTCGATATGTCAGCCCTAGGAGACTCTTTTATTTGTCTTCCTGTTAATTTAAATGGCTGAGGGTAGCCCTGGTTTCAGTAAATAAAGTCATGAAGAAGCTCAAAACACTATGTCTAGGATCTGGGCTCAGCACGGTTTCACGGAGAACGTTCGGTCTTGGTTAACCACATTCGAGTCTCTAATCCTTGGCAGTTTGGGTCAAAGCAGAGCTGTACCAGGCAATTGGGGGGCTGACTCCGGAACACGGCTCGGCGGTGGGGAAACGTGACACGGAGGCTCCGAAGTATGGCGCCGCCGGCGGCTCGGCGCAGGAGAGTTGGCTAGAAGAAGAAAGAACGGAAATGTTCATAATGAAAACACACAGTAACAAACATTAGAAATCCTACCAAAGCCTTAGGATAGGCATTAGGGAAACAAATATTAAGCTAAGCACTCATAACTCGTTCGTTAGTGAGGATAATCTCTCGAGGTATTTACAATAGTTCAAGCTGTACAGACGTGCTTGCACCTCATATTTACGTGTGAATGATCACATGCCATCATCTTCTATGATGCTTGCAATGGCCATTTACAGAAGTGGCTTCAATGTTACTATAGCATGGATTGAGTCGAGACTCATTGCAAGACTTCTGATGACTGATGTAGGGTAAGCTAACTGACCTGATGGTTGGTCTAACTTCAACTAGACGGTATATCGATAATATGGTAGTATTTTATTTCAAGAACAATCTCGATGTGAATCAACTATCTATTAAAAATCCTGCCAGTACAAAGGGAATAAATGAGTTATGCGATGTGCGCGCTATGATGGGGTATCGAATGAAAGCAATTAATATGAGAACCAACAATTTCACAGTTCATCGAAAACACGAAGCTCCTCCTCTCCATGTGTATGCACCTGCTTCCTCTTTGAATATGGAACACCGCTCTTCTCAGGTCTTCGGAGAGACAATGATGGATGTGCTGCTACCTTATGCGACTGGACGATAGACTCTGCAACACGAGGAGTGCTCGAGGTATCACCGCCCAAGAGTGAACTATGTCTTGAGACATACTGAGCACCAAAGAACAGAACCACCACTGCAAGGAACACAACCGTGATGCATATAATGATAGCTCTCAACCTCAACCGTGTTTTGTCCTGTGACTCTTTGTCCAGACGCTCCCAGAGCTCGACCTGCTCTCGGACAATATCGACTCGATCACTGAGAGCACGGATTCTTGCACGGCCATCTTGGACACGGGTCGTGAGTGATTCGATGTTCTCCTGGTGCTCCTTGAACTGGCCCATTGCTGCAATCTGTGATGTAATATCGTTTTCAATCTCGCAAGCGTCCTTCTCGAAATTTCGATGGATGCTCTGAGACTCCTCCGCCAACTCCCTTAAGGCGGAAACAGTTGACTGAAGTGAGCTCATCTTTTCAAGAACGGCGTAGTATGTCTCGTCGAGTCGCCGTGCTGTGGAAGTAGAGAAAGACCCAAGTTCGACCAATGACTGCTTTAAACCCCTATGAATGCGTCAGCTATAAAGTACCAGATAAGGATGTATGTAGTGTCTTACTCGACCTGCGAGGACGCCTTAGCCTGATCTTCCAGTATCTTCTCCTTGGTCTTGGGTTCCGGCGGAGCAGGGACGTTGAGAGCCTTGTTCTCCTCCTCTCTCGACAGCATCAGGCTTGGCCTCCGACTCTGATCGGGGCTCATGTACGGCGTGACGCCTTCTGAGCGTGTCATAATGTCTACTGATGCTCTGCCTTGATATTGTGGGTTCGCGGATACGGGATGGGAGATTGAGATGTGGTGCGCATGCACGGCGCGGTCCTCATTATATCGATCGCGTTCTTTCTTCTCTCGACGGCCGAGCTTCACGGGCGACGCGAGCTCGGTGATGGATCGTTTCAACTGATGTCGGCTGCTCGAACGAGCACTGGAGACTGAGTTTGTAGAGTCTCGGGGACTCGTAAAGCCTGCTGAGGCCATGGCGTGAGCGGTATTTCCCCGTTGGTAGTGTGGCTGATCCCGATTCGTCCTGCTTGCAGCTATAGTGACCGTACTGTAGGTCTTGAGAAAAACTCTATGCCTGGACCCTGTGACGCATGGATGGGTGGGTTACCCAAAAGAGGGCTTGAAGCAGTAGAATTCTAGGTTTGTTGCGTGGTTGCATCAGGCGATCGTCGAATGGTCAACTTTGGGGATGGTTTAGTGGACCCCTGCAAACCGGCAGTTTCACATGTCACTTGAATATAGATGTATACAAGATCGAAACATCTCCACATAAGCTGGAGATAGTATCCGAATACGTTTTCAATAGTACCTTATATACTGGTAGACGTATAGTCTTTCTTTTCGTAAGATTTAAAACAACTCGAATGTTATGGCATGTACCATCAGCTTGTCAGGCTCAGAATGGTGTCATAATCACCACGATATCCACAATGGAGGTCTTTGACTAAGACCAAGATCCCCAAAAGAACCAGTGGATGGGTCTACTAGAAGATTCACGTACGCTGCTTTCGTCAACTTGGCATCTTAGATCTGTGGACCTCGTGTCACTTGCTGTCCTTCGAGGATATCAGTTGGCTCTCCTACAGCAGATGAGTCTCAGCTAGAGCACGACTCAGGCCCGAACCAGCCGATGTGTGAATCAATGACGAACATTAAATCTAGGAACCTTTAATCACACGAAAACGAACAGCCGTTCGATAGCCGGACAACCCGGTTATCGCTCTGCCCAGATTTGATCGCATATTCCAACGCCCAGGTATATTGTGCTGCTCCCATGTTGCCTAACCTAATCTTTCCGTTGCAAGTTGTAGTCTGAGGTATGCCGCATCGTAAATCATAATGCTGTCGATATATGTCTGCTCCAATCAAATTCCAACCACCAGAACCATCCCGTGATCATGAGTTGATCAGCTTGTTTCGCTTCTCCTTGCGCTTTAGTCGCTCGACTCGCTTCTTGTGCATCTTCTCGGCCATCTTCTCGTATCGCTCAGTCTCCTCCTTCTTTGATCGCTTCTCCTTAATAGCTGCAATCTTGCGCTGTTTATTCGTTTAGATCATGTCTCATCCAATGTGAGGAGAATTTGGGCATACCTGGCGCTCCTGTTCCTTCTCGTCCTTCATCTCCTTCTCCTTGGCCTTGACTTGCGCCATGAGAGCACGCTCTTGCGTTCGCTTCTCATATGACTTCAAGCCAGCGGTAGGTCGGAAAGCCTTCTTGGGGGCATGCCATTGCTTGCCTACGGAACAGTTAGCTTGGTGAGTCCGTATGCGCGCAATGCTGTGAGGTAATGTTACCATTCTTACGCATGCCAAGGGTCTGCTCCGCCGCAGGAGCGGGAGTCAGGTTTGTTTTCTCCGTATCAGACATATTGTTGCTGTGTATCTGTCTTTGATACTGAGGCGTGTCGTTTCAGCGATCTTGCTCGCTTCACTAATTTTTCTGCCAGTCAAAAAAAGTTGAAGCAGTGCACTATCTCAGAGGCGGTGAGAGGTGATAAACCTGTGGCTGTGCACCTCCACACTCGGTCTAGAACTGTGGCTCATATCCAGGGTCCAGGTAGCTCCCCACACTTTAATTCAGGGGCAGATAAGGGGCGATCTTGTCACGTCGCTTGGTGCTTCTGTTTCATGATCTGAAGACTTCTGGCCCCTTCACATGAGTTCCTAATAATAATCAAAGGTTGAACCCGCCTCGGTTCGGCTATTCTTTGCTCCGTTTGATAGTTTACTTGTCTTTCTTCGGCGCTGACGAGTCTTCCAATAATGCGCCATCCCGTCCCTTCTTAGCTGTCAGTCGAGGGAGAATATACGCTATTGGCTACGTCTTTCAGCTGCGAACCTGTAAGCCTCAGATCCAGTTTCTAGGGGTGCAAAAAGACCTGAGACCTCCATCAAAGAGCCAAAAATAACCAACCATAGCTTCCTGAGCTTACCCATGGCTGCCCAAGTATTTTGTCACCCTGAGTTCAAGGTCTTAGGTTTCCTTCTAGCCACTTTGACGGTCTGTAAGGTTTACAAGGATTTCTAGTTTGCAGATTCTCGCAGGTGGCTTTGACTTCGGTGCATGGGAGCTAACCGTTAAGATGCTGATCAAGTGATGTGATTGGAGCAGGGGTAATAACTGTTCGTATTGCCAACCGCATGTTCGTTTACGCTCATGTCAGGCATTTGTATGAAAGGGGGCCAGCCGTATGAGTATGCATCAAGGGAGATAGCCTCGGCCAGATCATGAGCCTATCGCTGGCCAGAAGCAAGTAGTTGACGTACGCACTTCAATGGTGCTTACTATGTACTTAGATTAATTAACATTATTGCAGATGCATGCGTGTAATTGCCATGCATTAGATTACAGAGACATTTCCGAAAGGGAGAGACATTACTATGTGGAGTCTTTAGAGAGACATGTTGGAAGGACGGGTCTATCACAAGGCTTCAACTAAGAACATGCCATGAAAGAGTATGGATGAACACCTATAGTGAGAGGATTAATCGGGCTCATCGTAATCAACATCCATGGCACTACAATGTCATAGTGGGACGCGACTGATGCGGGTTAGAGACCAGATTAGGCCTTGTTCCTTCGGTATCGCGGCCGAATCCTACGTAAATGACATCCCGTCTATCATGGGCCCAGAGCCAAGGCCACGAAATGACGATGAACCATCGCGTGCTAAATTCGGGTATTTCTCAACCCCATTCAAAACACGGTAGATATTTTTGGGAATCTGTCCTGTCTCCTGTCAACATTTGATCCGTCCCGAGGCCTCCTTCACCGCAACGCAGGGAGATGGATCTCATGACGGAATGAAGAGGAAATCGTAATTAGCTGGGCAAATTGGCTTATTACCGTTGCAGATAATAATAGGAATGCCACCCGTGTCGAACGGTATTACATAGCTTCCTCGTTGAGATGTTGGCGAAATTGTTTATGCATACAAGAAAGCCTTCATTTCATCGCGATGCGCCTGAGGGAGGTTATTCGTGGACGAGCTGAACGGTGGCAGGCTGACCTGAGATGGGAATTGGCAAGCCTCTTTTTTTTTTTCACAACCGTGAAATTGGCCGGTTATGAGTGCACGGTGGAGCAAAACGGGGGAATTCGAAGTCTTGAAAGAGGGAGAATCCTTGTATAGTGGCTTAGCTGGTGGACCTGGCTCCACGAGAGACTCTGCCCATGAACCCCCAGGTCTGGGCAAGACGCGAGGGATGAAAGAGAGACATGAGGAGTCAATGTTACAAGGTATCAAAACTGGCCCTTGCCAGGCATTGTATGCATGCAGGTTTGTAGAGTTGAGATCATGCAATTGCTTAGTTTGCAAACACACAATTGTCACGACAACCATCGATCAACAGATGCAACTTGTGTTTTGTCTAAATTGTTCCGCCATGCTTAATTTAGACGTTGTTGAGTCTTGAAAACCGTCCTGTCTTGTTTATACCAAGTTCGGCCATATTTCCGATGCGCCAAGTGCCTTGCGATCATTTTAGTCTGTGCATAATTTGGCGGTGTCGTCGGATATTGGTGTAGATCTGACGTTAAATATGATTATCAGGCAGGCCAGGATAACCTTTGTTGGGAAACACTGTATAAGCGCCCAGAGCAATAGATTGTCAATGCAATAAAATTCGAGATGAAAACTGCTGCCATTGTTACACGGGAGGGGCGCCTGTCGTTTCAAGCTCGGTAGCTGTCAATACCCGGATTGAGTTTGTTGAAACAAATCATCCATGATAGAGACAGCTCCATGATCAACCCGTCGGCTTGTCTGACGTGCTGTGAATTAAAAAAGCAATTAGACAGGAAATCAAAACAAAAGCCAATCAGAGGCTGCAGTCTGATACCGTTGCCTTGGTGAATCTCCCGTCAGAGATGAACAAGACAAAGTGTTTTCACAAGTGCCCTGCACGGACAGATGGGCAGCAGCCTCAGCCTCAACCGCATCCGTCATCAGCTGCCACATCTTTCAAGGTCTCAATTAAGGAATGACTTTCAGGTACGGGTACCAGTGTGGGAATAGACAAGGGGAATTAAGGCTGTTCCTGGCCCCGTGCGTAGCGAGGATGGCGTTAAGCTGGGACTACAAAGACCAAGGCTTTCACTGACCGAGATGTCAGTATGATGAGAAAATGCAAACAGCAAAACAAGTAATTCGTGATACTCTCGGTAAACAACTTTCCCGTTGAGATACAATGGGCCAGTCGACTGACCCATCTGTCAAGATCTAAAATCGGAACTCTTTGGCCTGTAAACCAGAGCGCTCGGACGAGGGCAATACGTAATCTTCAAGGGCTCCTGGTAACCCGGTTGATAGATCACAACCTAACTAACCTTGACAAGTCCTGGGGTTATTGTTTTGGAGAATCGGTTTGTTGTGGTCGTGTTCTCGACCTCGTAATCTCTGACCTGGTCAGGCCGATGGGCCAGGTGGCCTGCCAGCTCATCCTGGACAGATCTCAGGTCGACTGGGGAAGAAGAAAAAAGCAACGGAGAAAAACTCCATAAAACCCGCAAATGCAAAATAACACAACACAACAGAAATGCGCTCAGCCATACTGTATACAGCATCGTATTGTATCCCTCTGGGCTCGCGTGGCGCATAGCAGTCGACGACTGGTTCTAGCCCCGATTCATCGTGCAAGCCATGTCTCGCCTGTACGATAGTTTAGGCGGTTGGTGTGAATTAGTGAGGTTGAGTGTGGGTAGATACAAACCTGCTTTGTTTCTAACAAGCCGTGTTGGCGGATGGCTCGGCACTATCGTATAGTAATATGATTCCATGATTATTGCATGCGGAAACTATCGTGTCGTTTAAACTCCCTACCTTAACCTTAGTTGTTGTGGTGTTTCAATGGGTGGTACCGTTGATCTAGGTCCCGCCCCTTCTTGAGATCGATCTGTTCGTTGGTGGCTGCCCTACTACAGCAGCCTCCTGGTCTCTCAGTGGATATGATTGGCCTTTGACTTACACCAGATCAAGATACAGCTGTGTATGGGTTGCAGAGAAATCACCGAAAACTTTGTGTAGCGACACAAATGCAGAATTGATCATGCATCTTACGATAATTTCTAGGCGAAGGCTGTGCTAGAAACCCTTGTTCTAGACAAATCGTCGATTCCCTTAGCCGTGAAGCCTTTTCGCTCATGTGTCGCTGACCTTTTGCACCGGTACAGACGTTCCGCCATGCCGTTGATAAGAGATACCTGCTGGTTGAGGCTGACTCGGGCCTATGAATTGTATTCTCAAAGTGGTCAGCCGGTTATCATCCGAATCCTGACCTGCAGCTGGCCGCTGACCACCAAACGGTCGCAATGCTTATTGTAACACAACTGGTCGCTAATCGACTAGGATCTCTTCCTGTTTCCAGCGTTTGATGGTGTGAACAACTTCTAGTTAGGTTCTCTCCAGAGTTTGACAATTGTCCGAAGAAACAACTCTCGTGATAGTTATCTATGATGCTTGGCCTAGGGGCTGGCCAAGGTCATCGATACTTGATTTTCGAATGCGCAACCGCCAAGGGCGTTAGATTGTCGCGGCCATCAAGCAAGACATCGTGCCGCCCGCTGTAACCGTTACTCATCCCTGGACCTCCACTTTGATGTTCGCCTCCCCCGCTCTCAAACCTGGAGGCCATCCCGGTAAAGGCGCTTGGTGAGTTTGGGCATGGGAGGATTGAAGATCATTGACATGGAGTATCGGGGAGATAATTGCAAGAGAGTCTCTCTCACATGATAGAGTTGTCCTTTCAACATGAATTAGGTTCGACGCTTGATGTTACTTGCTCAAGTCTGCTCGCTTGCATCTTCCTCCATCTGTCGTGGGCTTGCAGCTTTTGTATGCACCTTAGGTGCAGGTACACGGCGCACCGAGGGTGACATGGGCAGGGGTGTTAAGTGGCTCCTGACAGAAACAGCAGACGAATAACAGAGGCCTCGGGCGCTCAACAGAGCAGCAGCAAGCACCTCGAGAGCGTTCGCAGTGCCAGGGACGAACAAAGAGCCAGGGATACTGTAGTCGACCTGCGAGGTCACAGTGCAGATGTGGACTTGGAGTCTCATGTACCGATATTGACAGTACCTGTCATGAAATGGTGACCACCATGAAAGTGTACCACTACAGTTGATGAAGATCAATATCCATGATGGTAATGCTGTCCTGTTTCAGTAAGATTGGACGAGGAGCAGAAGCGTTTGTTCATCGCTGATAGCGCAATAAAATGATTATGCTCTTGTCAGATTGTCATGAATAGCAGAGATAGATTAATTGATATTTGACAGCATAAGATGTCATATCCGAAAATTATTATCATCCAGTCAAGACAATAACAAGAAGTATGACCGCTGGTTTGGTGCAATTTGCCCCAAAAGGACAACACAGTGCGGGTCTGGTTTTGGGGTGGATGAAAAAAGCTCCACCACCAAGCGGAGACGAGGAGGCCCGGCCGCCCCTGGAGAGGAAGAATTCATGAAGGGAAGGAAACCCAGGTCTAGCGAAGGGTACTTACCGCTGCCGCCTTGGAAGAAGTCAGAACAAACGACGACAAACGCAGGACTATATGTGTTTTTGATATTAGGTCCTATACCCAGGTACTCTCCACGTTTTAGTAAGTGTTTTCACAATGCATCAGACTGCACACATGTTACCAAAAAGTAACATAGTTCATCACACACAATCCCTTTTGGGTTCCCTTGGCTTCTTGATCGGGTCACCCTAACACCTCGATTCATGAACCGCCTTCCACTGGCATCCACTCGATCCAATCTTGCAGGCAACACGGGCAGCTGGAGTCCCCGACAGAGGTGGCGCCCCTTGGCCATGTCGTGTCTCTCGACCGTGGACTGTGGATGCCAGGGCGGATTGTCCAGGACCACGCCAGCAAGCCAGGTACCTGAACTAAGAACTAAGGAACTAGGGATTAGGGATCATGAACTACTAAGGCTAGGGGGGCCTGGCCAAAGTTGGAAGGAAGCGCAGAGGTACTAGAGATGCATGTTCTCCCTGGCCATTTCCGGCCGTCTATTCGCAGTCGTGTTGGTTGCAGCGGTACCTGTCCATACGTACCCCATCACACTCAGTTGGCAGTGGGGGACCCCTTGCACTTGCATGCACTTGCGCTTGCTGGGCGTGGCTGAACACAAGTGCATTTGGCTTTACCTCTTTCCCTCTGACCTGCCTTTTATCACGAAATCGCGTTTCTATCCCCCCCTCCCCCGTCCCGTCCCGTCTTCTCTTCTTCATCTCTCCGGCTGCACCTCAAATCGAAAACGCCGCCTTTGCGAGCGAAGATTCTCTTTCTTCCTCCTCCCGACCTCTTCTTTCTTGGTGCGATTCCAGTTGCTCTCTTGTTTTTGTAGAGTTGCGCTGGTCTTGGCCGTCCACTCCTTTTCTTTACATACCATAGTTTTAACATCCGCCATTCGAGTTGTTCGTCCAGCCAATTTTCCGCGATTCATCTCGACGACTTTCAAGCCTGTTGCTGCCGTATCATCTGGTCCGTTACCCCAGTACGACTTGCTTGCCATTATTTGTAGCAATATCCTTTTCTCGAAGCCGACACTTTTCGCCTTTTCGCGTGTTCAATTTCAATCTCAAGATCTACAGACTGATCGTTGCTTGTGACGCCTCAGACGCGACCCTCTTCGAAATTGTCAACACCATTGCTATACATTTGCTCGAACCGAATAATTAAGCGAGCCCGGCGGTTCTGGAACGGTTGCCTTGCTTGTCCTATGAACCTTTAATTCACACATTGTTGTCCATCACTTCATTGCCGCTGCGCGGCTGAGGAGAAGATGGCAACCGCATTTGGCCCTGAGGGGCTAAGCCGTCCAACTCCCGGTCCAGCGTTCGATAACCCTTCCGATCGATTCGCTTCCTCAATGAACTCATTTACTGGCCCTCATTCCGTTGACTCCCAGTCTCAGCTCGATGAGCCACCGCCAAACCCTCCATTCGTCTTTCCAGCCAAACCGCCTGCCTCGGCGTCCGCGCCCTCTTCCTTCTCGCGAGCGACCGGTCGTCGTCCCATGTCGGCCATCGAGACGCCCAACTTCAGCTTTGGGTTTTCTGCTGAAAATGCAGAGAGACAGTCTCGCTCGGCATTGCCTGACTTTAGCTTCAACCCTGGTGCTCTACTTTCGCCAGATCGTGAAAACAATTTTCTCCTGACTCCTCCAATTTCACCTCACTCTCCCAGAAACATTGCATCATCACAGCGACCCGGCGGCCATGGACATCGAAGAGGTGGGAGCGAATTTGTTGGGGGACGTATCCGTGAGGGCAACTCGATCGCCATCATGAGCACTAGTCCTACCAAGTCAGAGAGTGGACTCGTGACGCCAACATTTCAACCACCAAGAAGAGGCCATCGAAGAGGGATTTCAGGCGCCATCTCGACAAATGACCTGCCCATTCTTCAACCTCCCGTTTTTGATGCCGCCGGCCGAGGAAACAGCGCACCGACTAGCCCGACCACCTTCGGCCAACCTAGCAATCAACTGTCTCTACCTCTGGATGAAAAGGTTGTTCCTGAACCTGCATCTGCTCCTGAACCCGAGGCGCCAAAGGAAACGGAGCAGCCTGTTTCAGTCCCTTCACCGAGCGGAAGCCCCAAACAACCCAAGGCCCGTGTCGGCTTTTCCGACACACTTGAGTTTATCCCACGACCTTTGTCACTCGTCTCCAATGAGACTTCCAGCACAGTAACAGCACGACCTGGACACTCTGTATCTGGCAGCATCTCGTCAATTGTTTCAACCGCATCTCACAACGGTCGTGATAGCCCATCACCATTATCTCAAACATCGACTCGCGAAATTTCAGACTCGAGGCCAAGCACTGCAGGTGCTATTCTCGAGCGTACTCCTGACCAGGCTAACACGCCATCTTCACCAAAACGTCGAAATTCGATTCCGACATTACTCAATTTTGCTGAGGCTCCCAAGGCAGAAGATCCTGAACCAAGTCCGACAAGGAAGCGCTGGTCATTTTTCGTCCGAGACTCTTCAGCTGGAAACACATCACCTGGCAAGAGACCACAGAGCGCTGGGTCAATCGATCTGTTAACCAAAGCATTACCTGTATCAGGACATGAGATTGGTCCAGCTGGCGAAAGTGCTGATATCACTCCCGTCAAGAGTAAGAGCAGCAACAAGAGTAAGAAGAAAAAGAAGAAAGTTAAGGGCTGGGCTGGGGCTATCTTGCCACGAAAGCCTAAATCTCACAGCAAACGATCAAAATCTGAGGGCGGCCGTCCTCCAACTCCACCATCTTCCAGAGTCGCTCGATACGAAGGCGAGGAGGAGATGTATGGAGAGCCTGAATTGCTGGAGATTTCGACACCAACTCTCACTGTCACCGAATCTCCCAACATACCTCAAGATGAGGCACCACAGCGATCAACAGATGAATCATCATATCCTATGATCGATCTCGACGCTGCTCTCGGCCCGTTCAACACCCCTCTACCACTCAATCCAGAGTGGGAGGCAGCGCAGCGAGCTGCTGGCGGTGCCGGCAAGCGGCGACTTCACAGTGCCCAAGGCATGAAGGGTTTCAGTGGTCCAGGCATGCATTACCATCGTCGCGCAGAATCTGCTCCTGATCTGCCTCCCTTTGACGCAGGCCGTGCTGGCATTCACCGTTACAACAGCAGCTCAACCATGGCCGACGTTTTCGAAGAAGATGAAGAGGATGATGACGACAATGCCAGATCTGGGACAACAGATGATTCTTCAGAAGAAGAGACTGATTCTGACAGTGATGCTACACCTCCAGCTGCTGTTACTAGAGACCCCTTACGTGACTCACAAGACAAGCTTTCAATTCACAGCTCAAGCCAGTCGAACCAGGCTATGAGGCGAACCACCTCCAGCCTGAGTGACAAGGACCAAATATCTGCCAGTACGGTGCGGGGTGAGCGCTCGAGGTCGTCCTTACACGAAAGCGTTATCGCTGAAGAGATGCCAAGCGTGATTTTTCGATCACCTTTCATGCCTGCTGAGCGAACTGAGACTACTGATTCTGCTCCTTCTTCATTGAGAAGGTTCTCAGGCACCAAGGATCTGTCACCTGGTGAAGTCAGCCCCTTGCATCTTCCTGCACCAGCCAATGTTCCAAACAGCCCGTACGCCATGAGCTACTCGTCTTCTTTCCCGTCTCCCCGGTCGCCAATGTCTGTTGAGGTCCAGCGAATCTCAACAGCTCCCTCATCAGTTACTGACGAGAACAATTTTCGGTCTCTGCTGTTAATGGGAGAGCCTGGACCCGAGGTTCGAGTTTCAGTGGATTATGACATCCCTTCATTGACATCTAGCAACTCTACAATGACAAGGGAAAGCATGTTCCTGCCCAGCCAGCGTCAATCACAGCCCACTCTCCGAGAACCTCGACCAGTTTCGGTCTCCTCTGCTGCTTTTGGACGTCGTCGATCAAGTCTTGCCAGCCTCAGCCGTCTCATCAGTAGCTCTCATGGTGAACGGAGCAAGCTCTCAATGGAAGTCACGCTGGACAACGACGAGAACCACAAGAAGGCAAAGAGTAGCCGAACGAAGAAGCTGGGTCGAATGATGCAGTTTTGGAAACCCGCTAAGGAGAAAGAGGGTGAGGCGAAGTAATGAATGAGATATCCGACTTGAAGAAATCCTACAGCGTTGGCGTTCTATGACTGCCGTTGCAATTGCACGGCGCATGTACAATATTCCTTTTGGTATGTTGCAACTGAGGCTTTACTCGGTAGCTTTGCCAATTCGACTCTATTTGCGGTCACTGCATGGAGCAATGGCCAGCTTAACTTTATCGGTCAAGAAGCAAGGTATCAACAGACATGGTACGGGCCTTGGATTGATGGAATCCCAAGTATTTTAGTTTAAGGAACGGAATGGGCGCAGAGGTTAATGATTGCATGAATAGCATTGGTATCTGGCATTGGCTCATGTACCTGACTCCCAGGTCGACAGGGCCGATGGTTGAGTCAGATACATGGGTAGCTTGGACTCCGCAGAGAATTGGACAACCCATATGTGGCATTTTTTATGCTGCTGTCAACATGAGGGAAACGTAGTGGGATATGAGATCTAACTAGGTATCTTGCGGAGGCGGCTGGTAAATGCACAGAACTAGTAATGAACATAGTGCTGAAATGACTCTGATCCTGAAACTACGACGACGTGAGGTATGCCTCGTAACCCTATTCCCGACATGATGAATGTTGGGTCTGTTTCGGGACAAGGATGATATCGAAGAGTTTGGGAAGAAGACGATCACATTCTCTAGACAGGTACAAAGCTCAATACTCAGGAGTCATTAAGTCGTGAAATGTATTCAAGAATGCTGCCTTGCAGTCTCTATGTAAAACCACCAGTAATATGGTGATGCGGGCACAATAATCCTCCCAAGTAAATCCATTCCATTCCGTTCCGTTCCGTTCCTGAAACGCCTCAAGCAAAGCCAATTGCGTGCGTCTCGTCAAAAAGGTAGTGTCAAAAGTCCAAAGCAACGACGCCATCTCGCTGAAGTAACATCACATCCACTTCTTGGCCATATTAGCAAAACCACCCCAAGTATCGCCACCACCACCACCGCCGCTGTAGGAGTGCGTGTCGCGCTCCACACGAACAGCGCTGTTGCCGCCGAAACCGCTGGCCATACGGACAGCTTCGCCTACTAGGCCGGACGAGCCGCCCGTGGCAGCCTTGGAGGCGACACCGAGCATGCGCTCAATGGCGGGTGGGATACGTAGGCCGAAGCGGGCGAGGAGAGCAGTCAGAGCTCCCCCCGTGATGAGGGGCATGATAACAACGAAGAAGACCTTCCATGGGTGGCGCTTGGCCCAGTGGACAAGGTCGCGGAGGAGACGCTTGAGCTGCTTGTATGTCTTTTGGACGAAGCCTTGACGTGGGGAGCGCTTGTAGTAAGACGAGCGACCTAGTCAGCTAGTTAGCACCTTTCGATTCCGAGGTATGCGGCTGGGAGGGGTAGAATTACTGTTTCCAAAGAAGCTCGAGCGGCTGTTGTTACCGCCAAGTCCAAAGAAAGAACCGCGCGAGGAATTGTGCTTGCCATAGCGATCTCCGCCAAGGAAGGAGTCTGCCATATCCGCGAAGCCACCACGGCCACGGCCACGCTCACGGGAGCTAGAGCGGGAGCGGGATCGTGAACGTCGCTTCTTGTGAGAACGAGAAGATTTGTGACGGCGAGATGAGGTTCTGCCTGAGAGTACGGAGGCGCCGTCGTTCCAGTCGAGGAAGCCCATTTTATGAGGATTCTCGGTGGTTGGATATGGAGTATTCTTTTGGTGGTGAGATTTCAGCGGACAGAGGGAAAGCTCAGATTGTGCGCATTCGTGAAAGAAAAGACGCTATTAATTCAATTGAAGAATTATCTCGTGTCGTTGATTAATCCTCAGTTTGATTCTGAGCAAAATCAGGATCGAAACGAGTAAAGGGCGGATTGTGATTGATGTGCGCTGCTGCTGCGAACGAAAGATCCAATGCAGATGCAAGTCAGAGCTGTACTGTAAGAGTGAGGTACAGTAGTCTGCTCGGAGGGGCCACGGCGGGCACGCACGGGACACACACGCGATGATCCTTCTTCACCGTAAATTCGAGTGGCTGGAGATACGATTCGCGCGTTTCAGGGGTCTCTTTTTCTTACTCCACCACTGTACAGTAGTGGGTTATGTTTTAACCCCTGAGAGTGTCCAGTCGAGAAGAGGAATGGTTCTTTTTCTTTTTCTTTCTCTTTAGCTTGGTGCTTGGCTTTGTTGAGTTCTGCTTCTCTGCTGCAGTCTGCGCATCTCGCGGCGAACTGGCCTGAATTGGACTGAAGAGGGGGCTGAAAACTGAAGATGCAGGGGTGTGATGTGTACCCTCGTCTCTTCAAGGTGATGATCCTCCACAATGAATTGACGAACGATATGCGAGAGTCGCTTCGAGCAGCACGGTTCAGTATTGTTGACTTGCTCTATGAGGTGAGAAGGCTTATTTATTTGTGAATTCGAAAAATGGTACAACCCTTGTGTATCCACTTGTCTTGTGTTACAGAGTACAGTACAGGTGTTGATATGTGGTTGAGTAGAAATATCCCGGTTGGATGATACATGAGCACACGACTTTATACCAACAACGTCTTGCTGTAACTGCTACTGTTACAGTACATACTTTGCCACGGAGGACCACTTATGTAAAAATCAGCAGACGGTGAAGCCCGAGGCTACAGCAATTCAACAGTTCGCGTATTGTACAGCAGAACCTAACTCTTTAGCGAGGGCCCGACTTACATGGATGTCCATGACACCGAGTCAACCAATTGCCAACTCAGCCATAAGAACCTCGTTGTTCTGTTCAGAATTTTCACGAGCTGACTCACAATGTTGATAATTCATCAACCGTTAGACACGTTGAAGTGACCCGTAGGGCTGAAAAAAAGCCAAAATGGGGAACCTCCCGCGCCGTCCCGCTGTGGCCCACGCTGAGAGAGTGCGCGATCGTGGAAAAAAATCCCCGTGCTGAAAGAGAAACCTTACACCGCCAATGCTTATATCGTGAGTTTAAAGTGTTTCCATAAATACATGTTCAGCTGTCTAGTGCCACGCTTTAGAGTATCCTGGAGACTTCGGTTGATGGTATCCACAAGTTGGGTGTTAAATGGAAAGAGTTGTCAGCTAATGTTCAAGAGAAAACGCAGATGTGGCACAACGGGAAATATCAGACCTCTGATGGCTCCCAACCAAGGTGCCAGTTGAATCCTTTCTAGAGATCGGATTGACATTAGATTTCGAAGAGTTTGTAAGACAGGTGAAATTGATAGTTCCAGAGTAAACTTAACTTGTGCTCGTTCAAATGGCATCATTCAACATGGGGAATTTCGGAGCTCCATGGGATGAAGGGGCCTTAATGAGGACGTAATTAGCAAAGAAGAGAAATAATTAAAATGGCCCCATTCAAGCTCTTGTATTTGACCCCATCATGTGTAGATGATCCATCATCCCCGAATGACTCCTTTATGGCTGCCCCTTGAATGCCTACCTACAATAATGACATCAAAGATAGGCATACAATCATGATACCTCACGAGAAAATGAGCACTTTCACGATGTGTTTGCAGCCAAGACAGAAGAGCAGGTATTTGTTCCTATGGGGCGGTAGCTATGAGGTCAACTTTGAATGGATAACTAGCCTTCTCTCTAACCAGCAGTCTCTTAATCTCCCAACCAAGGGTAGCTCTGAAATGGCCTCAAGATGACCTCCATATGAGCCCAAAAATGAAAGGCTGCAATCGTCCAGAAGACTTTCTCTGCTGTCAAATGACCCCAAAATGGCATCTAAGCACTGTCTTTCAGGACTAAAGTCCGAAGATGTCTTCCCCCAAATCCATTCCTAGAGCCAATTGCCCCAAACCCAGCGAAACATCCAAGTTCACTCAATGAGAAGCACAGATTCTTCGTTGCCAAGCTTCTCCCAGCCCTCTCTGTCCGGAAACTAAGTGTCGATGCGTAAAGTTCTCTCAGCGCACGGTAGCCCGCCAGGATAGGTCTAAAGTAAAGGCCAACACCTCGACAACCTTTCATCATAGACAATGGTAGCTCCTTCACTTCAGCGGGCTCTCCCGTTGAATAGTTGGCGTACTGTGCTGCATCAAGTCGGCAGAGTAAGTCCCTGGCTTCTCCGAGGCTAAGGTGTTGGCCTCGTCGCGTGAATATACCTTTTGCAAGGCATGTTCCGACAGGCCAATGACCCCATCTGATCCCACGTCGAAGTCGGCGGGGTTGATGAGGCCTGCTCTCCCTGCGATTCGGAAGACTTCATTATGGACGACACTCATGTATCGCCCCGCAACTTCCACCGAGAATGAGCCCATTTCCAGGCTGACTTTAGACGCTGATTTCATCTTCTTCGAAATGGGGTCATAGAGCTCCTCCTGCATCTTTCGCTTTAAAGATGAATACGGAGTCGTGAGAACTGAATTAGGCTCAACAGAGAAATTGGCTTTGACGTTTGGCTCTCTTCGTGCCACATGCCTCATTGACCAGGCGTTAGAACCCTCTTCCGGGACGATCGTATGCAAGTCGTATTTGGCACAAAGAAGGCCATGCTGGGCAGGAATATGAGATGGCCCAATAGTCCAGATTGACCCCAATCCCATCAGCTGATGAACTCCTGGCAGAGAGAGCTCGTTCAATGGCAGAAAAGGCTCACCGAGAGTAGAGCCCTCCTGCATGGGCGGATTAAGGAACGCGAATGGGATAGCGAATGCCTTGAGTGCTTCGAATCTGTCCTCCCAATTGACGCCATTGATGGCGAAAACCTGTGCAGAGACCTGAAGATCCCTTTGGTAGTTCTTGGAAATGAAGTCAAAGGGATGCAGATACGCATCAAATCGGAAGAGTTCATGAAACTTGACCCAACTTGGAAAGTAGGCAATGAATGGGCCCATTTCAACCGAATGGAATGAGGTCTTTCTTTCAGTCGAGTCTTGACCCCAATGGCGGTTACTGTCGCTTTGAACCCAAAACCACATAATCGCGGCGTATAGTACTTGATTCTTCGTAATGAATATTGTTGAGTTCTTTTCTTGGAAGTCATCGACCGCTTTCTAAACGGCATCTGGAAACTGACGACCTGTCATCCTGAACGCAGGAAAGAGGAACGGAACAGATCGAGGAGATTCAGCATGACCCTCAGATGCGCAGACCGGAGTGCCCAAGAGAGTGGCCTCGGCGATACGCTGATCAGAATGGGGTCTTCCTGAGGAATCTTTGAGCTCATTACTAGCTCGTTGTAGGTAGGGTGCAACCAAGAATTGATTTGCCGACTGGGAAGAAGGGCATTGCGCGGCACTTGGCGCCTCGGCCAAATTGGGGTCTTCCATGATAGAGTCGGAGACTACAATGGCATCAATGAAGGTAAACAGATGAAGTTGGGCCCAATAAAGAGGTCAAGATGGCCTCTTCAAAAAGGGATGCTTGTTGTGAGATTGGCCGTGTTGTGTTAACTTGACGTCAGGGACTGGCGGGCACCCACTGAACTGACAGCGACCAAGGGACCGTCTTTGGGAGGTGACGGTTATTAAAACCGAGTATCGCTACTGGACTGTTTGATTAGAGGAAAGCAATGGACGATGGTAAGAAGAAACATACAACGGAGGTGATCACGATGCCGGAGGAGCCTATCTGCGATAGCGACAGTACAATGGCTTGGGATCTAAGAAAAAACTGTCAGAGATAGACAGCATCAAGGTCAGAAGAGAAGTGGCATACCATAAGCCGAAAGACGCTAAGAGACTCAAGCTGATGTGGATTGCAAGATCGGCTTTCTTCACACACGAAGCTGCGTTTGGAAACTACAGCGACCGAGAAAAAGGACACAACAACCAGGAATCTAATGATCAATAATCAGTAAATGAAGCGCAGAGTATTCATAGCATATTACTTTACCTTGAAGCGTCTTATGATATGAGTTGTGAGACCAAGACTCGACCCTGGCGATGCTTGAGTGTGTAAATGAAGGGATGCGAGAGAAGGAAATTAAGAGGTAAAGAGAAAGTAATGAAAGCAAAGGAAGCAAAGGAAGCAAAGGAAGCAAAGGAAGCAAAGGAAGCAAAGGAAGCAAAGGAAGCAAAGGAAGCAAAGGAAGCAAAGGAAGCAAAGGAAGCAAAGGAAGCAAAGGAAGCAAAGGAAGCAAAGGAAGCAAAGGAAGCAAAGGAAGCAAAGGAAGCAAAGGAAGCAAAGGAAGCAAAGGAAGCAAAGGAAGCAAAGGAAGCAAAGGAAGCAAAAGGATGTAAGGAGATCGCATGAATTGTGGAGATTTTTGTTTTCTACTCATAAGTGAATGAGCTCCATTTTTATGTCATAATGAATTTGACGGTGATTCACTGCCAATCTGAAGTAGGAGTTACTATTGAATAGTCTTAAGGAGCTGTCAGGGGGGAAAAGAAAAGGGTTCTAGATAGTTTGCTCTGGTGCCTGGTAAGGACCACCCTTAGCATGGACCATTACCCGAGCTATCTCAAGTATTGTCTATTATTTTGACGCCTTAAACATAAATATATTACAGGAACACATCACTAATGTCGCGAACGGGATTTCCATAGCCTTTTACGGACGTTGGACCCAGAGTATTCTTGGCGACGTACCAACAGACCCCTGAACCAGCATCACAAAGCGCTCAAGTTCGGCATTTCACTCAAGTCGATCCAGGGCATTCGGTGTATGATCGAAATAAGTTGATTCCAAGACACCAGGTTCAGTTCTTTCATTTCGTAAGCTATCATTCGCGCCAAGATTGAATGGTCCTGGTCACTAGATTCGCTGACACTGCATAGAACCAGGAGCCAAAGACGAACAATCTGCAGGTCTACACTGCAGTTCCATGGAGTATCAGCTTTCAGATCATTCGATATTGTTTTGAGGAGTGTGGAGATATGTGCTTGAGCAGTCCCGGGATAAGAGCGGCATCTTCGCTTTACCCATATAATCCAGATGATAGCCCCAAGTCGAAGTGCCCCCAGGATTGTTTCGTAAGGTGTATCAGAATGTGAAGGCTCCGATTGTTGTTGATTCAATAAGTCATGCGCAATTGGGTTCAAAAGGAGACCCATTTGCTCTTCGTCGCTCCAGATGGCATCGCCTTTGGTCGCCTGCTCAGTCTGGAGGAATGTTGCAAGTGCATTCAAGTCGCCCATACATGCAAGAACCGCCAGAAAGCGCTCATCATACATTATCTCTTCGTTCGGGAGGCCGAGAAGCGGATCTGGAAGCGTGTTCAGACCTGGGCGAACGAATGCGTCCATGTGCATGGGTAGTGGAAATAGGGGCTTCGTGTTATGCAGAAGTGCTGCCGTGATATCGACCCTGAACGGCTATCAAGTCACTGAATAGAACTTATAACGTAGCAGAAGGGGTTCTTACATACCATGAAATCATGAATAGTAGGTCCTGATTATTCTCCAGGGTAGAGATGCCACCTCTTGCCTCAATCACCATCCGGATACCCCTGATATGGACCACCGCTTGATCGAAATCAAGGTTAGTAAACTGAAGAAACATTAGCCTTGCTGCCAAGAAACAATTAAATATAACACAAAGCTTACATTATAGCAAATCAGTGCCAGCACCGCGCTGATAACGTTGTCTGATGTTGCCCATCTCATATCGGAGCTCGCAAGTCTGGACTCGATACATTGAATAGTCATAAGAGAGCGCTCCAGCGCTAAAGAATTGAGTTCTTGGGCTGAATGGCGGTATAGAGGAATAAGAATATCCGGAGAACTGAAGATTTCTTGGTAGTGCTTCAGGAAGGCAGACTTTCTGAAGGCGAAGGGAGACCAAAAAGTGTCTGCCGAATAAGCTGTACCTATCCTCAGATTCAGTACGTACTAAATACATAACCAGATTACCATAGGACTGAAGTTCACTTACTGCCGCTCACCGCATTCTTCCCCGTGGCCATGATAAGAGTAAATCCATATGCAGAGAACGAATCCTCTCCCCATTCCTTCTCGAAGACGGCCAATGCATACAAGGTGGGTGTGCCTGATGCGACCTGACACCTCTCAGGTGTTGTTTTATTGCCATAATATCGAATCTCTGAACTTTCTTCTCTACTGGTGTTCTTTTGTGTCTGCCATGTCAAGGTGACGTACTGGCGGTCCTTTGGTGGCTTTCTCCGAGACTTCCCAATATCGAGCATAACATGGCGACGAACCTTGGAACTAATTAAGTTACCGTGATTTCGATGATAAGGAAAATTATTTTCATTGGTATTAATGAAGAGGAGACGCTTCTTCTCTGGAGGCTCCTCCATGCCTGCCGTTGTGACACCAACTAAACATGTGTCAAAGAATAAGACAAAGGATAAGGAAAGGAAAGGGCATTTAGGAAGCATGCAAACAAACAATCCAGTCAATTTAATATCTAGGGTCAGATTGTGAGGTCATCAAAACCAAACGAGGCCACCTACAAGTTGAGTGTCTTAGTCTTAGGTGGGTGATTTCAAATGCTCCGCGGAAGCAGAGAGGATTGATAATCACACAGATCCTTACCGTTTTCTATATACCATTTACCGTTTCTGGTATATATCCGAGCATTTTTATTTCATCCTTCACCTTTTCGATTTACCATTGCCCTTCTTTAGCAAGTGGCCAACGGCAATTGTATGCAAGGAAAAGGTTGTGAAACAACAGATCCCCAATCATCTAAGCCTCTTTGGTGGTACCATGAGCCGTTTGAGGTCAAGAAGAAGTTATAAAATTGATAGTTTTTCAATATCTGGCGGTAGGTAGTGTTGAATAATGGCCTCAACTTTCGAACGCGAAAGAATTGTAGGGGAATAGGATGCGTATAAATATGAAGCAAGAACCGTCGTGAATTAGAAGTAGCAAGAAGCCAATGAGACACACAAAAATATCACCTCTATTTACCATTAAACTGTTGCAAATTTTTGGAGTCTCGACTACCATGTCAACCAAGAATATGATCACTCTCTACTGTGAAGGCACCCCCAACCCACTCAAGATCTCCATTGCACTTGAGGAACTTGGCTTGAAGTACAACGTAAGAGCCCCTAATCCTTTCAAAATCATTGTCTCTACTTCTGACACAGTCCATATAGGCTCGTGCAATCAAACTCTTCGCACACGAACAGAAAGAGGAGTGGTTTCTCGACATCAATCCCAACGGTCGCATCCCAGCCATCGTTGATACAGACGAGCATGGCAACGAACTCAAGATCTGGGAAAGCGGTGCTATCTTGCAGTATCTTGTGGAACGGTATGACAAGGACCACAAGATCTCGTATCCCCGTGGTACGAAAGAATACTGGCAGATGACGAGCTGGGTAAGTGCCATAAATCTGCGTCGTGGACACGTCTAACTAATGTCTCGTAGCTCTTTTGGCAGGTCAGCGGTCTTGGGCCTATGCAAGGCCAGGCAAATCATTTTGAGAGTACGTTCCCGGTATTGATGCGAGATAAAAGGGGTAGCTGACCTGATATAACAAAGTGTCTGCTTTTGGTGATTATCCATATGCCCTGAACCGGTACGTCAACGAAACGCGCCGCCTTTACCGAACGATGGACAAGGCTCTTGCGGAAAATCCATCCGGATATCTTGTTGGCGATCATCTCAGCATCGCAGACATTGCCATTTGGCCATGGACTACCGCATACAGTAAGCATTTCACTCAAAGTTTATATGTATAAAGGCAACTAATTTCCATATGTAGAGTACAGTGGCCTGTCTCAGATTGACGAATTCCCAAACGTCAAGGACTGGATGTACAGGCTTCTCGAGCGCCCTGGTTTCGAGAAGGGACGCAATGTGCCCAATCCTCATATTTACCTCCAGCTCAACGAGCTGCCGGATGAAGAACTAAAGAGGCTGGGGAGAGAGAGGTCAGTTTGGGTTCAGGAGGCTATGAAGCGTGATGCTGAATGACCAGCTGAGTCCCTATTGAGTGGAAAGGGCAACGTTAAATTGCCTTTCTACACCCTCAGTTAGTTAAGGGGCACATCGACGCTCGGAGAGAATTTATATCACAGTCGCTACTGGAAACGAGATGTTAAATTGGTGTTAAATGTAGTATTAAAGGCTATACAATCCTTCGTTTGCGAGCCCGATTTGTCTATTCTATCTTGAATCCTCGCTGGTACTTTTCCATATCCTTTCTAAATTGCATACGCTAAATCAATTTCTTACTCCTCCTTCTTTCGCTGAAATGGCTTCTTGATTAGATCCACCAACTTGCCCAACCCTCCAAAAATTGTTCCGAAGCCGAAGCTCCATCCTCGAACACGAACTGTGTAAATAAAGAAGTAAACGAGCATCCAGTTGGACACACAGAATGCTAGGAAGATACCAAAATCTGCAGTATGTTAGTACATTGTATGAATCAGGCTCGGTTGGATCAACATACCTCTCCACTTGTCACTCGCGTCAATATTGAGCGACGCTAGGTAATCGTTGCCAGAAGACATTGGGCAGAACTCGCAAGCGCTCGTCGCGTTTGGGTTGAGTAGATATCCTCCAGCGGAGTCTGCAAATGCTCCCGCATATTCTTGACATGTTTGGCCTGGGGGAGCGTCAAACTTGGCAGTCTCTTCAGACGAACACTCCACTGGAGTGCCATCAAGAGTAGCTGCAAGGATGCCTCCAATCCAGTATGTAGAGGGGTTCGCGTAGTACATCCAGAACCTCCAGAAGACTGGAAGTGAGGCATATGGGCGAACAACACCGTTGAACAGACCGAACATGACAAAGAAGAAAGGCAAGACCTAATCCTGTTAGTACGAAAAGATATATTATTGGGGACAATACTGGGGGCAAAACTTACATTGGAGATAACGGTAAAGCTGGGGGCAAACGCGCAGATCCACTGACCCCAGCTTGTCATGAAAAGGAAGATGAGAAGAGTCATCAGGAACGTGTAGCCTGAAACAGAGCTCTCGGTTGGAAGCCCAGTGGGCCAGTACCATAGGACAAAGTACAGCACTGCTGACACTACAGCCGCAGGAATATCAGACACAATGTTGGCAGTACAGAAGGCAAACCATCCGTAGATACGAGAGGGATACTCTCGAGCTTGCCAAAGAGCCATGTTCGTAAAGAACTTAGGAACAACACCGTTGACGATGGTGGGAGGAACTGTCACGATCAAGAAGCAAGTGAACATGCGGTTCTGCATATCCTGCATCGTGTAGCCAAGTTTCCAGAAGGTGAAGCCATTAAAGATGCCAAAGATGACCGCAATGAAGAATTTTCCATAGATGTAAGAGGGATCGCGCCAGTGCTGTCGGAACATACGCTTGGTCAACTCGACCGTCTGAAGCCAAGTTGGCGCAGCAAATTCAGAGTGCTCCTTGTTTGAAGAAGCTACTCCCTCGGTTGCGGAACTTCGAACTCGCTTAAGACCATCGATTTCTTCAAGCACTTTTTGAGCTTCCTCACTTTCAACCCATTCCTGATTCCAATCAACCTTGGTACCGTCAGGCCGCCTGTGAGGTCGTGCAGCAGTCTCAAGGATGAATTCGGCGACGTTCTTGTTAGGAGGACAGACAGCACCGCGGTCCGAGAAGTACTTAACAACATCTTCTCCATTCTCACCCATAGGGCCAAAGTAAAATGTGTTACCTCCAGGGTTCAGAGCAAGGACCATATCAAACTGCTGAATAAGAACAGAACTTGGCTGGTGGATGGTGCAGATGATCGCCTGACCAGCCCGGCTCAGCTTTCGGAGGAAACGAACAATCGAGTAAGCAGACTGCGAATCAAGACCAGATGTGGGCTCGTCAAGGAAGAGAAGCAGTGAAGGCTTGGCCGCCAGTTCAACGCCGATAGTTAGACGCTTGCGCTGTTCCACTCCGAGGCACATGATAACAGCATCTTGCAGGTCATTGAGCTCCAGCAGATCTATGATCTTGTCCACGTATGCAAGTTTGTCAGCACGGCTGACAGATTTGTCCTGTCGCAGAATGGCAGAGAACTCAATAGCTTCTCGAACAGTCTGAGTTGTATCATGCAGATCACCCTGAAGGCAGAATCCAGTGTTTCTCTGAAAGTCCGCACCGAGAGATCGTCCATCCACAAGCATCTCGCCTGTAACGACACCAATGCTTGTACGCTGCGAGAGAATGTTGAGGAGTGTGGTCTTTCCAGCACCTGAAGCTCCCATGAGGGCGACCATGACACCAGGTTTAGCATATCCGCTGACCTTGTTCAGAAGCTTCTTCTCACCACCGAGGTATGGGACTGTATACTCGATGTCCCGCCATGTGAAGATGGACTCGCTGTCGGTGATTTGTTCCAAGGCCTCGTCTTCGCTGCCTGGGTTGAGGTCAGCGACAACGCCAGAAGAGCTGCTGGCACCATTTCCAACGACCTTCTCGTCATCGACAGGGGATTCGGCTTTGCGTGCTTGTTCCTTAGCCTTTCGGCTCTTCTTGAAGACCAAGGCACCACCACCACCTTGTGTGAAGCTGACCAGCTCTGTTGCCAAAACCGTGACAAGGATATAGAGGACAGCAAAAGCAATGACAACGCCAAAGTTTCGCCACAGGTTTGATCGACTGTAGTTGTAGGTAGCTTGTAGATAATCGCTTCCTGAGACTGACTGCGCATTGACTGTAGCTCCACTGATAGCACAACCCTGATATCCAGACTGAACTCCAGGTCCCTGCGGAACTAGCTGAGAGGGAGCACATTCCATAATCCTATCGGACAGCTCGTTGGTCAAGACAGCCTCGAAACTGTAACTGATGGGGTTGATCCAGTACAGCCAGCCGAACCAGATATAGTCCTTCAGTAACTGAGTCTTGGGAATGACGTATCCGGTGTAAATAATGAGCAGGTTGAGCGAGATTCCAGAAAATCGCACAGCGGTGTCAATCTCAGGGGACAAGCTAGCAAACATGCGATACAGTGCTGTAACCATGATAGTTGTGGTATACACAAAGAGCATGTAGATCCAGAACTTTGATACGTCCACATCAAGCCCAGTCATGAAGTACATGATCAGACCAAAAATGCAGACTTGGACACCGATGACAGGGAAGTCGAGCAGAACACGGGCAAGGGAAACAGCTGAGGGGCGATAAAAAGCATAGTCGTGGTGGCGGGCAACGACAGCACGTCCAGATACAGCCTTCATAAGCTCCGAGAGCTGAAGCCAACCCAAGAAGAGAATCGAGAAGAAGATGGTACCGCCACGACTGAAAGCACTTGCAGTGTCCTCAGTTTGTCCATAGAAGAGAGAGCCTACAATGAAACCGTTCGAGATGATGATAAAGAGCTTTGTCCAGAGTGTTGTGG